ACATCACGGGTCCCAAGGCTGTCTACCTCCCTTTTCTCTCTGGGAAATCCTTGCAACTCTCATCAGAGAAATCTCTTGTGACAACCTGAGTAGACGTATTTCCAAAGGAGACCAAAAATGACCAGCAAACACACACACACACACACACACACACACACACACACACATACAGCATCCATAATCACTAGGGAAGTGCAACCAGAACCATGATATCACCTCACACCTGTTAGCTTTGCTATTATCAAAGTGATAAGAGAGTAGTGTTGCAAGGATGTGGAGAAAATAAATCCCTCCTATGGTGCTAGTGGGACGGTAATATGGTGCATGCCTCACTGCAAATGTGAACATTTCTCAAAAAAATTAAAAATAGAATTATTATGTGACCCATCAATCTCTCTTCTGGGTACATATTTACAGAGTATGAAATCAATGCTTTGTAGAGACATCTACATTCACACTGAATCATCATTGAATCATCATTCACAATATCCAAGCTAGAAAATGAAGCAAGGTGACTATCAGCTTATGAATACATTAATAAATGGTACATATACATAATGGCATAGTATTCAGTCATAAAAAAGGAATTGTGTTACTTATGATAGCATAGATGCATCTAGTGGTTGTTATGCTAGTGGAAATAACTCATAATAAAAAGTGCTATATCATTTCACTTATATGGCTTTTCGAAAAAAGTCAAATATATAGAATCAGAGAGTCAGAGAGTTAAACAGTTATTACCAGGAGTGGTGAGGAAATTTATTGGAGAGATAGGTCCAAGGGTGAATAATAAATATAGAAATATAATAAATAAATATAATAAATATAGAAATCTAATGTACAGCATGAGGGCCATGGTTAATACTGTATTATGTACTGGAAATTTGTCAAAAGAGCACATTTCAGGTGAATGTAATACACACATTCATATACAGGGTAACTGAGATCTGTATCTTAATTTTCTTCACTCTAGTTATTGTTTCACTATAAATAAGTATATCAAAAATCACATTGTGTGTCTTAAGTGATAATAATAGAAACCTGAAATTAAATGAGATCACTTTGATGTAATAAATGCCAGGGGCATGAAAAAGAAATCAAGAAATCAGCCAAGGGACACCCATGTATTAGATATATCAGTGAAGAATCAATGTTGGATGTGGACCACCTAGCATCAACCACCTCAGGAGGTTCCAGGTAGATAAGAGACCAAAAAAAAATGATTTCTTTCTAAATTTCTATACATTAATATCAATAATAATGGCTAGACTAATTCGTTATGTTGTTGTTTTGCTGTTGTTATTGTTGTTGTTGTTGTTGTTGTTGTTTTGCAATATTGAGGGATTAAACCCCATGGCTCACACATTCTAAGCAAGGCTCTACCATTGAGCTGGGGAGGCCTCCATCATGTTTTTGAACAGCTTATGTTTTAGCAAGTGTATGTAAATACTCTCGGTGTCACACAACTGTGATACACTGATTTTGCTGTCACAGTTGTCACTGGGTTTGTTTACTTTCTGTTTTACTCAAGATATTGAGGCTACTTTCTTCCCCAGCATCTCATCAAGAAGAAAATCCTAGTATCTATAAAGATGCTGAAAAGTATTGTTCTTATTATGACAATGAAAATGAATCTTTCCTGATAACCTAAATATCCAGAATACAGTTGAATACTTTCATATACAACTTTACAGATGAGAGGGCAATGGATGCAGTGGTGTGCACATAAAACTCTAGGTTTTCCCCTCACTGATCATATTCATTTAAACCCCAAATTCCAACTTTTGCTGCTTTAGGATCACTGGCATTGCTTGAAGTCCTAAGTGGTTCCTCTTAAATCTGTTCATGGAAAACTGGCTTAATCAATTTTTGAAAGCCTGTACCACATGTCAAACTTGAAGAACTTTGACTTAAATGTTATGAATCCACCCACTTAGAACTGGGCATGTTAAAGGTTTTAAAATAAGTTCTTTACCCTCTTTCTAAATTCAATTACCCTTTTATGATTCTGGTCATAGTCACAGTGAAATAAGCCAGGAATAAGTCCTTTGCCTTTTATTCCCCTGTCTTGAGGACATGCTTCATATTAAACTTGAGATACATTCCTATATATTTTGTTTTCTTCGTGTTTCTTTCATACATTCCTTTTTCTCCATTCCTACTGTAGCTGACTTTAATCTGGAATATGTCCCTCTATATCTTTTTAAAATTAGTTTTGCATTGTCATTTGAAATCTATCATTACATAAACATCTGTATCTATTTTAACAATGCATTTAAATTATTCCACACATAGATTTTAAAACTATCAATAATTCCCCCTAACAGTGAGAGTTCTGACTTTTTTAAGTCCAACAAAAAACATTGACTACTACTATAAAATCAGCTATGGATTGATTATTTTTGTACCTCTAAAGTTCTGGTTTGAATTTTTTATCTTCATTGTGCTGGTATTATCATGTGGGATTTTGGCTGGTAATTAAGTCATGAGTGTGGAGCCCTCAAGAGTGAGATGAGTGTTCCTTTAAAGAGATGAGAGCTTTTTCTTTGCCTGTGCACAGCACCATGTGAAGACAGAATGAGAATCTGGCCACCCAGAAGTGGAGTCTCATTCATAATGCAGCCACGCTGGCCCCATCGTCAAAGACATTCAGCTTCCAGGCTGCCAAAAATAAATTTCTATCATTTATGAACCGCCAGACTAAGTTACTTTGTTATAGTAGTCTGAACTAAGACAACAATTCAAAATATTACCATCATTTATAGCAATATCTAAATTACTTAGAATGACATGCAAGGGATTTTATCCTCTTTGCTTAGTTTCTATTGCCTTATCTCATGTGTAAGAAATCTTTTTGAGCTAGTATTAAACCAGAGGACACAGCTGTGATTTCTTCACCGTACCAAATTAGTTCATTGGCAACTTTAGACCTTACTCTACCATCTTCTTTCAGAATGAAATCAGCCCTCTTTTTTCCAATGACTGTCTTTCACCTCATGAACTTGATTCAGTCTGTCTTTACTTATCTCTCCTTTCATTGGGAATGCCCACTCAGGCTCCAGGTCTACCTGTGTTGTGTCCACCCAATGTATCACACACCGTCAAGTAATCACAATTAAAAGGAAACTGACCATCTCTTAGTGTATCATTACCATATAGCATTTGTGGGACATATTTAAGAAACATTTGGAAAAGTCAAAAATGAGCAAATGAACGTGCTATTCTTTTATTAATCAAATGAGCAATGTTCCAATAAATTAATTAATCTACTAATCAATACTTTGAAATAGTCCTCCAAATTTGGCAAAAATTCTCTCTCTCTCTCTCTCTCTTTCTCTCTCTCTCTCTGTCTGTGTGTGTGTGTGTGTGTGTGTGTGTGTGTGTGCATAAGCTCTTAGAGCATAAGATTAATCTTTCAAACTTTAAGGGATTTGGGTACTTTCAGCATAAAATCACCCCGTCAAGCCTAGAGAAATTAAATCAATTGCCTAAAGCCATAAAAACCAGTTGAAAGAAAACTGTGTCACAACTTTCCAGGGGATTTCTCTGTTGAAAGATATTGGCACTTTGTTTCATGTCATATTGCCATACCCCAAATTACCATGAATATAGCTCCTTAAAGCAACCCATATTTATTTTGGAATGTGTCCCAGGCTCTCACAGGGCTATATTCAAGGTGTAAGCTGTGACTGGGATCTCATCTATGGTTCAGAGTCCTCTTTCGTGATCACAAGTCAGTTGTTGGTAGAATTCTGGTCCTTGCAGGTCTAGAAATTACTGTGTTGTTTTCTTCAAGAGCATCAAGAGATCATCTTTGTTGCTTCCAGGCTCTTTGTTTTAATTTGTTCAACTGATTGGGTCAGAACTACATCTCTTTAGGTAACTTATACTAATGAGGGACCTTAATTCCATTTGTAGAATACCATTGCCATATAACATAATATAGCCATAGGGGTGATACCCCATGGTGTTCTTAGGCCCCACCACACTCCAGAGACAGCATTAAATAGAAAATGTCTTTACAGTCGTTTAAATTCTACTTAACATAGAGATGATAAATTTTTATTTTGCATAAAAATTTTGTTATTTTCATTAACTTTTTTAAATAAATGAAATCTTGCTGAAAAATTGACAAAGTTCTTGACTAGCTTCCTAGCAGTACTCGACTCCACTCACACTGAGACAACCTCTATCACAAATTGGTTAAGAATTTACAATATATAATAAATGATATGCAATACTATTATGTATAATCATCTTAAATTATAAAAAATAAGGTTGCTTTATAGTATTTTCTTTCTATAAAATATATTTGGGAGCTAGATACAGTGAAGTATGCAGTAATCACAGTAACTTGGGAGACTGAGACAAGAGGATCTCAAGTTTGAGGCCAGCCTCCACAATTTAGTGAGATCCTGTCGAAAAATTTAAAAATAATAAGGATAGTAAAAAGAGGTCTGGGGATGTAGGTCAGTGGCAGAGCAACCCTAGATTGAAATTTTTAAAAATTCAGGGGAAATACTGTTCTATCTGGGTTAAAATTGATTATGAAGTATTTGTTCCATTTTTTATTTGGTGCATACAAATTTTCTACTTTAATAATGATTACTTAACTACTTCATCTCTAATTTTCTGAGAAGAAAATGATCGAATTTTTCTAGCACATTTTCAAAAGTGTAAACATCTATTTTTTTTTTGCTCAGTTTTTTTTTTTTACCTGCATACTGTGATCTTGGAGTGTGAAAACACACTCATAACTTCTGCTTTTATGTCACTATTTCTTTGATGAGTGTGAAATGCAGTTAATTCATTGTATTTATTTTTTCTGAATATGTGAAATTCTCTATTGTGCAAAAATACATTTGCAACACCAAAATCAATAATTACAGCAATTTTTATGCTCATTCATAGTCAAGTTCAGAGTAACAAAAGTATGATACTGAGTTTCCTGACATGGCTATTCCCAGCTGAGATCAAGTAATCCAGTACCTGGCTTTCTATTTCAGTTGCCATAAGAGTTTTCCAGAGGTTGGAGACATTGAACTTCAAGAAGCTTGAGTTCTGGATCCAGTTAGGTAGGTTTTGAATGCTAATTGTGGAACCTCTTAATAGGATAAGCTTTTTATCAAATAAAACCACCCATAGTAATGAGCCACATATGTTCCATTATATTTGTTTAATTACTGATATATTTGGACCATTTCAACCTGCTTTTGCCCTCAACATGTATTCATTATCATTTCATTTTTTAAAGTTTTGCTTGTCCTGGTTAGTATTCTCTGTTCTGTTTTTGCTGCTCTGATGTTAGATATTACATTACACTACTAATTTTTATAAAATGCTAGTATTTATTTTAATATTTATTATGTTTGTAACTTTGTTTATATTTTTGATCCATGGAAGTAGAGAAGCAGAACACATTTGAATACTTTTTGAATTATTTTCTAAAAGTATGTCAAAAGTATTTAGACTTCAAATAAAATACTGATGGGCTGGGATTGTGGCTCAGTGCTTGCATAGCTCACAAAAGACACTGGGTTCAACCCCCAGCACCACTCTAAACAAACAAAAAACTAAATAAATTAAATATTGAACATATAAACTGAAAACTTGCAATGACAATGATGCCAACGAAATGAATGGAAAAGTAGATTTACTTTTTCCCCTGAATGACATTTTAAACTGAAGTGACTCCAGAATTTACACATGACAATAGTGAAGAATTGATTTAATTTCTTATCACTTCAGTGCCTTTAATAATAAGCTACAGGTATTGATGTCTTTTCAATGAGTTTTGCAGATGTTAAAAATCATTTTGCGTCATAAATTTATTGAAGTTTAGCAAGAATTGCGATTTCAATTTGCAATACTTTTAATTTAGTTGTTTATGCAATTATTTGTATCAATGTGAAGATTTTTATTTTCCTTCTCATCTTGATTATAACGGAATTTTGTTTATATTTCTGAAATAATTAAAGTTATTGCATTTTACATTATGTAGAGTGCTTTATTAGACATGATATTATGTAGAAAACTAATAATTTATGTCATTAAATGTCAATATAACTCAACATAATTAACATCAACAAGAGGAAACCATGTATTGATAAAAATGATTATTAGTAATAGGGGATTACAAATGAGGAAAACTTTACTCAACTTTCTACATTTGTCTTAATATCTAATCTCTGATTCTTTATTTTCACAGAAAATCTTAATTTGAGGATTTGAGTTAAACATCAAAAGTCAAATACTCTAACATATCATTAAGAAAAATCTCAAGAGATATTATACTTTTAAATGAAGTTTGGGACATAATTTAAGAAAATTCATTCTCAAACTCTTTCTGTATATACTTTAGTAGCTAAAAATATACAAACTTCCCCCTCTTATAGATACAATATTTTCATCTAAAACACTTCTCACATATTTAATTGGCCACTCTAAATCCACAGTTTGAATAATTTGCTACTACAGAGAAAATTTCACATTAATTTTCATAATATTAATCATTTATTTTCTTGATTTTAAATTTTCTTTTGTTTGCCTGTAGAAAGGCAACATGCCATACTTATAATGCAAGTATAAGTGGCCCCTTAATTATTTTAGAGACATAAGAATTAAGTTTTTTGTTTGTTTTAGTTTTTATCCTAATTAGAGTCTCTATTGCAACAGTATTTATTGGCTTTAAAATTTCATTATATAACATTATGTTTTATGTACTGAAATGATTTAACATTGCCTTGGCTTGTATATCAATCGCTGTGTATTTGTGGTGGATCATATTCCCCTGTCCCTACTCTTCTGTATGGCACAGAATGCTTTAACTCCTTCAGAGAGCATTTGTCCATCTGTTCTTCTGAACTCTAGATTATTTTTATATTCCATCTACTGGAGTTACAGATAAGAGACTGTTGTCAAGAGCTACCAGATGTCTTCCTTTCAAATCCCATATCTCATCATTTTTTTTCATATTGTCTAAATCTGAATCTCATTACTTACATTACTTCATGGTCTAGTAATAAAATGTTTTGTTCCTTGCCCCTGCAGGTCTAGAGTGGTGAGAAAATCTTCCCATTCTGGATATTTCAACATTCTTGAGTTCCTTTGACACTACCCAGATGTCTATTAATAGAACTCTCAATAAGTTTTACTCAAACTATTAATAGAACTCTCAATAAGTTTTACTCAAAATTCTAGCCCAATGTACATTATGATACTGGCCCAAAATGTATTTAACAAATTTTTAAAAAGACCCTGTTACTCTTTCTATCCTGTGCTATCAGGAATTAAAATTATATCAACCATGTCTTCTAGTTTTGTAGTCATGGATGAAAATACTTAGATTAATTTCAAATAATTTGCTTGTAGTCTAAACATGCTTTATACTTTGAAAATAGTCCAAATCAAATACTAATTGATAATGTATCTAAAATAGTTAAAATTAATATGAATATATGATTGCTGTGGTACCATAAGCAAAGCTTTTATTTTGTGACTAATTGTGCATTGTGTTTCATTAAATGGAGAATATGCAGTAACAACTTAAAATTTCCATAACTTCCAAGTTATCCTGTTTTCTCAATTTTTTTTCTCCCAATGTGCACAAATATACAATTTGTTATGTGGTTGTTTCTGAAACTCAATGTGATTATTTAGTCTCCAAGGAAGATAATAGACTTCATCATGTCATTTTACATTACTTAAACATGTGGAGACACTAAAAGCTATTAAAGAAAAACTTTTCTAACATGATTAACTTGTTAAATCAGCCTGTTTTGAAAGATGTTTTTCAAGATGCAGGTGGTCAAAATCTCAAACCCAGGAAGATTATTATTATTCAAGACAGTGGTTTGATGTTGTAAGAGCTGGCAATTAAAGTACAAAAACTTCAAAATGAAGAAAAAAAAAATATATATATATATATTTCATTATTTCCTTCCTTCCTTATATTTCTTGGTTCAATAAGTCTTTTACTGAGTATTACAGTAGGATGAATCAATATGGAGATTATGTTATTAGAAGGATGGCAGTATATTACTGCAAAGATAATGGAAAGATTGGAGCCTTTCACTCAGTACATGAAAAATCTATCCAAGCTACTGAGAGCTACCTCAACCTCTCCTCCTTCAGCACTGCATCACTGTCAGATTTTTCTCCCATTCAACAGCAGTTAATGAAGAGATTACTGTGTTTGAAATGAGAATGTCATATGTAGTAACATTAATCTTAGTCTCCACTATGTTTAAGAATGTCCTTCAAGTTTAGATTTTTTTAAATGTCTGTGAATGTTACATTGTTTACTGTCTAAACAACTATAGTAAAGCCTGTATAACATAAAATTTACTTTCTTATCTGTTTATAGAGTACAGTTCAATAATGTGAACCAAAATCACATTGGTGTGTAATAGGCCTCTAGAATATTTTTATCTAATTAATCTGAAACTCTACACTCATTGAAACATCTTCCCTATTTTCTCTCTCCATAGACCCTGAAAATGATTCTCTTGCTTATGTGAGTTTGACTAATATTGATACAGTACAGTATTATTCACAAGAGCCACAGTTGAGTAAAACTGTGATGTCCATCAATGGATAAATGGATAAAGAAAATGTGTTTATGTGATGTGTGTGTGTTAACGTGTGTATATACACACTTTTATAACAAAATAGTATTAATCCTTCAAAAACGGAAATCCTTTTATTTGGTATATCATGGATGAACTCTGAGGATATAAAACAGACACAAAATGACACAAAAGTATGAATCCAATAATATGAAATATATACATATATATGTAGTTTTAACTTTGTATTTAGTGTTAGTAACCAAATTTAAAATAACATGTGAATTAGAGTCTTAAGAGACAAAGACCCATAGGATATGAAAATAGATATAAAAGGAACAATTATTAGGAAGTTCACAGAATTATGGCAAGTGAGATCTGCTAGTGTTAAGTCCTGGTATCCACAGTCTGGAGAGCTAGAAGTTTTCATGTCCAAAGAATGAACTGAGTGGCTCCAGGCTTTCATTCACCTTCTCTGTGTGCACTCTTTGGGACAGGAGTAAATTGGATGGAAACCACCCATACTGAGGACCAGACTTCCTCATGTTGTCCATTTTCATTCATATGCTAAACACCTCTGGAAACACTTTTCCATACATACCTCAAATATTGCTTTTTTAGATTTATAGGTATTCCTTATTCCAATCAAGTTGACATCTAAAATTAAATCTTATGAGTCATTTATTCTTTAAAAATTTTAGTAGAAGTCAAATATTTAGAATTTATTGATACTGCATAGATACAGGGAAATGCCATTAGGGGGGTGGGTACGTGAAGTATGTCACCTGTGTGACACTTATTTTCAAACAGTTATAAGCAGACAGAGTTATCAGTTGTTAAAGGTTAGATTTGTAAAGCCAGACATTCCATAAGAGTTGTATATGATATTAAACCAGTAATTTAAAATATTTTTAAAATATTCTATCTCATATTAAAAAGAATGAATACAAAACTACTGCACTAATTACATACTCATAAAGTTGATGACAATTCCAACAGCATATTTCTTCAAGAAACAATCTTATTTTGAAATAAATTGCTTTGATATTATCAGAATTTATGTATGCACCCTGTTCTATAAGCGCATTTATAAATATTTTATAAACTTTCTCATCTCAGATAAGTTGCAAATAAACCAGAGGCAAATACACATGCCCCAAGAAAGTTCTAAATCTAGAAAAATAGTCTAGTTATTTATAAACTAACACAAATAAATGTATCAAAAATTCATCATATTCTTGTAAATCAATGACCCAAGTGATAATTTGGTGTTTCTGACTAGAATGAGTGAGACATTTAATGGGCTTAAGGTTTTTTTCAACAACAAAAAGAGTTTAGCCCTCCACAGAAACCTTAACATATACAACTGTATGTATGTGATAGATATCAGCATAGCTATAATTAAAGAAAAATAATTCACATTCTAACTAATTGTTAATTTAAAGCAATTATGATATGGTGTACATTTATTTTCAGTTAAACTACAATAAACACTTTACCTAAAGAATTTGAGAAAATACATACAATAGTGATTTTAGCCAGGTAATAGTACTGTTCAGATAAAAAAGTAATATTTAGATAGATGCCCAAATTTAATTTTACATTCAAATGTGGCTTTGAGTCTATTTGACATTAAGAAAATAATTCCTTAATGTTTCCCTGAAAAAAAATCATATTTAAATGATTAAGTGAACTAAAAACCAAATGCCTAATAAAAAAAAAAATAGTACCTTGAACTTGATCTTGTGTGGCAGCTGTTATGAGACTTTCCAAAGAAAGTTGACACTGAAGATTTTCTTTTGTTCCTCAAACATCCCACTCAAAACCTGCAGATATATTTATCTCTTTAAACACAAACTCCACCAACTGTACATGCAGTGTTCTATCCATATAAATATCATAAGCTAACAGACAAACCAAAAAATCTAGAACAAACAAGCAAAATAATCTTTAATCATGTTTGTTTTCACTATTCCTTTTGGTTGTTATTTGATTACCTTAGCCTCTGAATTCTTATTTCTCAAAAACAGATGATCCTAAAAAAAAGATACAGAGTGACCTGAGGATTACAGAAGAATCTAAGCTGTAGCTGTCCCTATTGCTAAATTTACTATAAAGTTCTTCTTCCAAATTGATTCCCTCTTGCTTTTTAGAAGTTCCTGGCAGAAAGAGATGAGCACAATACAGCTTCAAACCATGCAGAACCATTCCAATATGCAGAAGACAACAGGGAGGTAGTGCCAGTGGCCATAAGATGAGCTTTGCCTTGTCTTATTGTTAAAATCTCTGCAGAAGGAGGATCCCAACTTCTTTTCCATACCAAGGGATGTATGCCAGAACATGTTGTCAGGCTGCATTTGTTCAGATCTATCCCCCAGATCATGTGAAGATGCCTTCAACTCTTTTGAATATTCAGCTCTGCTCAGATAAATGTTGTTGGGAGAGGGGGTCACAGCTTTAGAAATGGTTTCCCATGGTCTTTTTATTTATTCAAAATAAACTTGGTGTGACAACTATCTTTGGTGTTCTGTTCAATTTGATTTCCACCAAGAGGTGGACATGCTGATACTGGCAACAAAATGTATGTGCTGTAGGCTGTTATACTCACATATAAAACAAATGTACAAAAAAATGTTTTTAAGAAATCAATCATGAGTTTTAAATATTTTATTGGTAATAATATTATCCATTTCCGTATGTGAAAGGCATCCTCTAATTAATAGTGCCATCATGTACAATATGGTTAGATAATGACTCCCACCTGACTGTGCCTCCTACACTCAAGATAATTACCTCTCCTTTGCATCGAATACATTCTTTTCTTATTAACAGAAACTGATTAAACATAGATTTCCTTTTAATGAAACTGTAACTACACTTACGGTTATTTGATAGGTCACTGAATAAACAAAGATGAACTACTCATAATTAGTATTCATTTTGGAGTTAGGTTGAAAAAATAAAACAGGTAAGAATAGAAAATAGTTTCATTCAGTAGAAATAATTGCATTTTGCACCTTTGTAAGAGGAGTCAAGTGCAACCTCCTCCAACAGACTCAGAAAATGTACGAATCTGAAAAAGTATATTTCCCTTTGAGGATGATTTTTTAAATCACAATTAACAGAATTAAAGGATTTGCCTTGTAAATTACTAAATTTGGAAGAATCTGTAGAATATGTGGCTATGATACATGCAGTCAGAGCATCATTTTCAAATTTTAGTTATTGTTCCATTAATTTCAGCATAGCTGCTAGAGACTGAGTATAATACTAATTTTGGTTGGGCAAAAATATACAAGGACCAAAATAAAGAATTGTTTTTATAGAATTTTATGCAAATATGGATAATCGTTTTAGTCTAGTTTATCCTGTGGAGTTACTAGCAGAAAAGAATATCCAAAACTACAACGACAAAACAAACAAACCCCACAAAGAAAAGAAAGAGAAAAAGACTGGTAAACAGTGTGCAATTTGTTCCCCTTTCACAGTTTTTGAAACATAGTTTTACTCAGTTAAAGAATGTTTAAAAATTAATATGACCATTATTTATACCTTGTTACCATAAAAAAGCAGCAAAACAGCTGTTCATATAACTGGGATTCTTGTGATGGAGTGATAACTGTCCCTCAATATTTTCTTTCTAAATTTACAGACGTCTGAAATTTGAAGTGACCATATAGTCATCCAGAGTGATCAACTATACTTTTCCAGCCTCTCATGAAGCTATATGTCTCCATGTATCTAATTTTGCCTAAAAAAGATGTAAGATGAAAAACAACATACTACAGGGACACAGCCACATCAATGTGTGTAGCATCACAATTCACAACAGCTAAACTGTGGAACCGATTTAGATGCCCTTCGGTGGATGAATGGATAAAGAAAATGTGGTATATATACACAATGGAATATTACTCACTAATAAAAGATTAAAATCATGGCATTTGCAAGTAAATGGGTGAAGTTGGAGAATATAGTGCTAAGTAAAGTTAGTCAATCCCCAAAACCAAATGCTGAATTTTTTCTGATATAAGGAGGCTGATTCAAAATGGGGTTAGGAGGGGGAGCATGGTAGGATTAGATTAATTGAACTCTAGTTAGTGCAAAAGGGTGGGAGGAAAAGGGAGGGGGCATGGGACTAGAAATGATGGTGGAATGAGATGGATATAATTATCCTAAGTACATGTATGAAGACATGGATGGTGTGAATATACTTTGTATTAAACCAGATATGTGAAAAATTGTGCTCTATATGTATAATATGAATTATAACTCATTCTGCTGTCATATATGACAAATTAGATTAAAACAATTAAAAACAATTTAAAAAGATATAACATGAGGTAGTTTATGACAATATCAAGAATTTTTTGTTAACAGATAACTAATACATGTATTTCATGTCTTTATTACTGTTGAAACTTTGAAAGTGTTACATTCACTAGAACCACAAGTGTTTCATCATCTAGAATAAGTAGAAACTAGAGGACGGTTCAGTTCATCTGGACTCTGTGGAGCAGAGCTGACATAACAGTCCTGGTGATCCTAATACTATTCCTCAACATGAAAGACTATTTGTAGGTGGTTTTTCAAAATTCTTTTTTACTTGAATGATTTATAATGGACAAACTTATTTAAAAATGACTGAGTTTCTTAAGTGCTCTTCATTTCTGACAACATACTTTAAAAATCTTCTCATTTTCTCATACGGCAATTTTGAAAATCAAGTAGGTTCTGAAATACCTACTAGATGTGAAATGTACTCTTCACTGGAAAATACGAACACTTTTTATGACCTATAACCTTATCTAAGACTTGTTTTCAATCTGTATTTACATTTATGGGCTATGGAAGAAAATGATTAAACCAACCTGTAATGACTAGTATAAAAACTATGTGGAACATTGGCCAAGAAGCAATTCAAATATGTTTTCAGGGTAATATCTTCTTTGTTAGAACATAGAGCAAGTACTTGACTTTTTCAGTGAGGTCACTATGTAAAGTAGCTAAGCTTATACAGTCATTAGCTTTACATTCCAATCAATTATATTTAAACAAATTGGTCTGATTTCATTTTACACTGGAATATTGGTTAAGGAACCATAAAAAAGTAAAAATCATTCAGCAGTGAGTATTTGTGTCACATACACAAAAATGATCTTCAGCTACTTTTGGACACAGAATGTTGCTTTGATTCCCTAGTGGGCTGAGCATATCAAAGGTGGAGTTGATCTTACCTGAGGTCTTTTACAGAAACAAAAAAACAAAAAAAACAACAACAATAAAAAATACGTTTCTTTCCCTGTAGCCCAAGATCTTAAGCAGTAGCACAAGATTGGTTACCGGTTGGATAAAAATGAAGAATTGACCAAGGGAGCCTAGGAAAAAACAATGTGGATTAGAATAGATTGGTTCATGCAACAGGGTTGAATATTAGCTCAGTTAATGAGGTCAGCTCCCATTTTAATTAGGAAGGAGTATGAGTTCCTGATTTGAAATAAGTATACAATATAGTTACTAATCTTCATTTTTCCACTTCTTTATTTTTTTCACTCTTTTTAGATATACATGACAGTAGAATGTATTTTGACATATTATATGTACATAGAGTAAAACTTATTCTAATTAGGATTCCACTATTGTGGTTGTATATGGTGTGGCATTTCACTGGTAGCATATTCATATATGAAAGTAGAAAAGTAATGTTCAATTCATTCCACTGTCTTTATAAGAAGATATATTAAGTAGGAGAGGATAAGCCATGTAATTCCAAGAGTTAGATACTGAATGATATTCCATTTTCAGGATAAGTGTGGTATCTTCAAATAAGTAATACTTTTCCAAGATTTGTTTTCTTTTCCTCACAACTAAAGGAAACTCATAGAAAGAAGCTCTCACAGGGGTACTTTAGAGTGGTTACTGTAACTCAATAGGGCAGCAGATGTGGCTTCAAGACAGTGCATGAACTAGTGGACAAATGCTCATCCTCATCCTTGGATGGAAACTCTTTTGTGCATTGTTTATTAAATAAACAAGTGTTTGCTATTACTTAGTTGCAAAAAATCAGTCTACTCAGAGTAAAAAAGAAAGAACTTTGTTCCTACTCCTCATATGTAATTTTTAAGAATGGAAGTAAAAACATGTTTGATTCTTCTCAAAGTAAAAATCAATTTATAGTGAAATGAGGAAATCTTTCCAAACAGCTTGTCTGTTTAATAGAAAGATACAGGAAAATTAAGTGCTAGTATGTGAGCCTAGCAATATTCTTTTCTGTGACTATGTCTAATTATCCAATATCCAGAATTTTATTCTTGTTTTCATCATTCTTGCCACTCACTACCTTTGTGACAGAGGGCCTGAACCCTAAGATAATTCTCTTAGAAAGCAGAATTGAACATCTCTGTGACTTCAGTGATGGCACTGACTTTTGTGATGGTATTAACTTAGACACCAAAAACTTGACTTTCCAGATTAGAGCTTATTGCCAAGTCTTCCTTTTTAAATTTTATTAAAAATATTGTACTACAAGAGATTTGAACCTAAGAACACTTGGCCACAACTACATTCCCAGCCTTATTTGTTTATCTATCTATCTATCTACCTATCTATTATCTATCTATCCATCTATTTATTTTTAATTTTGAGTTTGGGCCTCACTAAGTTGCTCAGGCTAGCTTTGAACTTGAGATCCTCCTGTCTCAGCCTCCTAGTTTTTGGAGTTTCAGGTTTGTACCAGAGCACCTGGCCCAAATCTTCCATTTCATCTTCTTCAACAGTGCAAGATGATTCTGCAAATAATCTCATTTATAGAGATTGTCCTCCTTCTATTAGTAGAAATATGTTGTGTTTATTTGCCCACAGCTATGTTATATAGACATGAAAAAACTGTGCATCAATTTTAACTGGCAGTATTTATTTTGTTGTCTTATCTTGTATCGAATGCCTTTAATTCCTCCAGCAGGCCCTGGGGATTATTAGTTCACATGATTTTTTAAAGACAGTCTAAGGACATTTTTCTGTAAGATTTTGGTGTCAGCCAACTAGCTTTACTCATTTTTCTTCCAGATACCTTGGCAGGATATCTAATTACAGGTAAAACAGAGTGTGGTTCACATATATGCTGCAGTATTTCCTTCTTTTGCTTTCTCTATTGTTTGGTTTCCTGTAAGTACTCATGACTGGTTTTGGAACTCTGAAGAAAAATCTTTAACTCTAAGTGCAAGTCAATAAAATGTTTCCAAGTTTAGAGGCAAGCTGGAAACCTTGTTGGCAGTCCTGTTGAAAGATCTAGTTGTCACACCAAGGCTTGTCCTCCATCTCTAATGTGGCTCTACCAGGTCCACTACATCTTGGCTATATGTTCCAGGGCAGTTGACATCCTGGCCAGTCTCATTGCCTCATGCTCCTCATCTTGCTCTTCAGTGTCCACATGGAACCAACTTAGGGAGACCCTCCTATTCCCAGGATCAATCTTGGGGATACAAATATCATATCTGCCACAGCCTGGAACTTATCA